CAAGTATATGAAGAACACAACTCAAAATAAAATTAAAGAGGAGAGGAAATATTAGTGCAGCACAGGAAACTGAATGATGTCAGGTTGTTCAGGTGGCCGGGAGGGAAAAGCAAACCAATAGAACCCATACCTTGGCGGTTTACCATCAGGTGCGCCAGACCTTGAGGGAAAGAACAGAAAAAAGGATACGAAAAACAGGAAGTTCATAAAGAGGTTTGGGAGAACAAAAGCATTGTCACAATGTTGGACTGCAGTTTGTGACAGACATCCTGGGGGTTAGTACGGATGTCAAAGTTCAAACTCAAAAGTAGAAAGGGGGAATCAAACTCAAATAGACACACATCTTAAAGGAGGAGAGGGAAGGCAAGGAGAGAAAAAAACATCTTGACCGGCGCAACTCTTACAGGTAGTTGCTCACACAGATGCTTTTTTCTAATGGAACACATATTGTATGTTTACTTGATGCAGACGTCTGGGATGCGTTGCGTGTACATAGAACCTGCTGTACTTTGTGAACACCTCACGTAAACAAGAAGCTTGTGTTTACTGTTGTTAAGCTGAACGTGCTCATTTCCACAGATTTGGGTGTTTTTACTTGTGACGGCTCAGAGGGCCGGTTAACCCTCTGTAAAAGGGCAGAAGTGACACCATTTCTTCTCCGCTCTCTAACTTCTGATGCAGTAAGAGGTGGAAATACTTCAGCAAAGTCCACAAACGCAGTGCTGCAGGACAATCTGCAAATACTATTCGGAGCAGAAGATTTTAAATTAATCAGTTTATGTTTCTTATTCACATGCACCACACAAACCTAATGAAATAAAGGAAAACTGTATGGCACACCTCCCTTGCTTTTACTGCAGGGCTGACACAATGCAGCACTTCTGCTGTGCACATGAGCGCCTCTGTGCCCGTAAACACAAAACAGCTCACGTCGGTGCACCAGCGCTCTGAAAACCTTTACGCTGTAAGGCAAGTCAGTCACACTACTCACAGTCACCGATCCTCCTTAGTCATTAGATAAAAGGGGCAGGTTGCTGTAGCAGGAATCTACTCTCATGTACCGCCAAATAAAAGTATTAATGCTGCAACTTTTAGCGTGGAATGAACATAATTACCCCTAGGAGGGTCCTGGCTTGCCAGCGTGTACGCTTTTGATAGAGTGTGTCATTGCAAAGCCAGAGACAGAGCCTCTCACAGGATTCATGCAAGGCCCGGTCTGCAGAGCAGACAAAGAGCTGCTGTGTGTGCCCTCACTGCGGCTACGCTGGCTAGCCCCCATAGCAGGCCGATCCATGCAGCAGCACAAAGAAACGCTGGAAATAAAGTTTCATCTAACTTAGATTTTATCATCATTCCTGACAATCTTTTGAAAATTTTTGTTAAATCACACAAAAAGTAAGTGAGAGGAACTCTTGGAGTGTCCCATCAACTCAAACCAGAACTTCCTGTAAAGATACATCTCCAAACCCCTCATTTATCCTGCTTTTAGCATGCCACTTCATCAAAAAGAGCATATTTTAAAGGTTCTGAAAGGTCTAAATTATATGTGTCTGTGCTTCAACAAAGCCAAATGGATTTTATTTTCCTGAGATTGCTGGCTTGTGCACACACAGTACTTTAGATAAAATATGCTTCATCTTTCACCAAAGGGATTGAGTTTCTGGTCTGCAGTGAGGCTGGAGCTTGGACCAAAACCTTTAGCATCAGTAACCTACTGATTTATGTAGAGGAAACGGACCTGCACCTCCGACCGATACAGATGAAGGCTGAAAAAACAGGTCAAGGTAGGTCTTTAACCACCGAGCCAGGAAACACAAGACGTCTCCGACAATGTTTGTGTTTCCAAGACATGAAGGGAAAGTGGATTAGGAAGGGTGTCACTGCTGTCTTTTTGTTGAGACCATCAACTATTGAAAATGTGTATCCCAACAGGCTATGCCTCACTCCCAAATCTCTGTGAGTGGAAATGCAGAGATAACTGGCTCAGACCTGTGGAGTCCTACTGTAAAGGAAATAAGCTGCCCTCCCCACCACTAATCCAAAGCTTTCTATTTTGAAGCACAACCTAAACAGCTGAGTGAAACTAAAGTTAGTTCTGAGTGGGGCATTTAAAAACATTTTACTTTTACTATAATCAGGACACACCAGACGCTAACTGAAGCCAGGAGGGCTGTAACTATGTCGGCTGGTTTTACACATTCGTTACCATATGACCATAAATCAAATTTAAAATGCACAGCATCAATCATCCCATCATCATTGTGGAGTCAATTAGACCCCATTCAATGTTCAGCATTAAAATAATGTTCATTTTATTTTTTTTACTTCAAATTTCATGGGTTTTCCTAATTCAGTGGCGAGAACTTTTTCAATGAATTTAATGCTTTAAACTAATGAAATAAATTGAAACCCACATTTTTTCAATATGCTGAACACAGTTTGCACACATGGGTGTTCTTGTGGGAGCACTTTGACCCCAACTTGTTTTAGGGTGTTTCTCAATGTCAAGGAACCTCGCCTTGATGCCTTGGTCCGACCCCCGGTTACCTGTTGATAACGACCCAGATTCCTTAACTTCTCAGTTTAAGAGCACTGCCTCTCCATTCTGGACAACATCTGTCCTGTCAGAACCAGATCAGTTCCTGCAGTGAACCCTACTCCCTGATTCAATGACAGCCTTCACAGCCTGAAGCGCCAATGCAGAAAAATTGAGTGTTTGTGGAAGAAAACCCATCTCCACGTCCATCTGCTGCACCTAAAGGATCTTCTGACATCCTTTAACTCTGCAGTCAGAGATGCAAGGGTTTCCTATTTCTCCAACCTGGTGTTCCAGAGCAAAGAGAAACCCAAGGTGCTGTTTAACACCATCAGCAGCATTGTCCCTCCTGCCTCTCCTACAGCCTCCATCCACTCTGTTGCAGACGGTGAGAACTTTCTGTCTTTCTTTGTGGAGAAAGTCAATAAGGTTAGATCTAGCATCTCTCCTTCAGCCTTATCGCTGCCTCTCCCGACTCCAGCCAGGCCCATCATCCTAGATAGCTTTGCTCCTGTTTCTTTGCCTGAGTTAACCAAACTAGTTAACTCTATGAAGACCTCTGCATGCCCCCTCGACATCTTACCCTCATCTTTGTTTAAAAGTGCTTTTCAGTCCCATCGGTCCCAGCGTGCTCTCTATAATTAATGCTTCTCTGGTTTCTGGTCAGGTCCCTGCTTACTTTAAAAATGATGTAATCCACCTGCTTCTTAAAAAAACGAGTCTTGACCCCTCTCTCCATTGCAGCTTAAGACACATCTCTAAACTTCCGTTCATCTCCAAGATCTTGGAAAAGGTTGTGGCTTAACAACTCACAGCTGCTCTTGATGAACATAACATCTATGATAGCTTCCAGTCAGGTGTTTGTAGAGCTCATTCTACTGAAACAGCTCTTCTTAGGGTCTCTAATGGCCTTCTGACTCACAGTGATGCAGGGGACCGTTCTGTTCTGGTCCTGCTGGACCTGACTGCAGCCTCTGACACTGTTGACCATCACCTGCTACTGGAGAGGCTCAGAGACTGGGTAGGCCTATCAGGATCTGCTCTGGAGTGGTTCTCCTCTTATCTCTCTGAGCGCTCCTTTTCTGTGGCCATCTCCAAGTTTAGGTCCTCCACCACCTCTCTTAATCATGGTGTCCCACAAGGTTCTGTGCTGGGGCCTCTGCTCTTCCTCCTCTAATTCTCCTCCATTGCCGGTACAAAGAAAGGTTCACCGAGGGCAATGACATGGTTCTGGGAGCCGCTATCACGTGAGGTAAGTCTGTTTCATTTAACCATTTTCTTTGACCAAGGGTAAGCAAGGCGACTCGCCTACCAAGGCGTTGCCTTGATGTTGAGAAACACCCGTCTGTCTGTCTGTTTGACCTCAGTCCTTACACCCTCAGGTGCCTGACACAAAACCGTGGTCATCAATAAATGTAAACCATTTTCTGGGTGAAAATACCCCTTGGAAGGGTAAAATGTGTTAGGATTATTTGATTTTCCACCAGTCTAATTTAGAGGGACTGAACAGGAAAATGCATTAGAAATAAAATCACCCCAGGATGTAATTTAAGAGAAAATGATTTCTTTTTGCCACCAGCTGATTTTTGGAGCTCTAATGGTTCCTTTTCTCTCACTCTTCTCATGTCGTTCTTATTTAGTAACTGACGTGAGTCGTTCTTGTTGAACTGCTGTAGCAGACGTATCTCCTAGTTCTTGTCAGATCATTTTGTTCAGACGAAACCATTTTTTTTTACCTTGACCTGTTTCGACTGTCACCTGCAGCCGTCCTCAGACGTCATGTGCACAATCAACTAACCAGCTCTCGCACACCTGGGACAGCATACCGTGGTGGTGGGCGTGGCCAACCTTACAACCCCAATATGTGAGCTGGGATGGCCACACCCACCAGATCATACAGTTGATGATGACACATCACACCTGGTGACACTTATGAGAAACGTGTCAAGATAAGAAAAACATTTTTATCTGTAGTACAAAAGAATCTGACAATAATTAAAGTATTTAAACATTTAGGGTTACAAAAAAGGAGATTTAGAAGAGTTTTAATGTTCACGACCTTTAAAATTCCTTAGAAAACAAAACACTTTCTTGGAAAGTTTAATCAAACAACCAAAGTTAAAAAACAGATGCAGACGTTGAAAGACCTTCTAGTGATTCTTGTGACATTAATTAGCCACCATTTAAGTAGAAAAGAGCACTGAATGTGGATTAGGATTTACTAAAGTTGTTTATCCCTAAAACGTAGAGTGTTGAGGGTCTGTGTGATGAGGGATTAGACCAAGGTCACCGTTGCTGAAGGATGGAAGCCCATCTGGACCTTCAGTGTCCCTTCTGTCCAAAATGTTGTCCTGCCTGTGACTCTGACTGTTTGTCAGTGAGACGAGTACGAACATGTTTCTTAAAGGTTTTCTTGTATGTCTGGGTGGTTTCTCATGCTCTGTAGCTCTCTTGTGTGGCGGCTGTCCTTATCACTCATTCACAGATCTCACAGAAACCGTCAGATGGGGCTGGTTTTAGCATCCGAGGCCGCCCTACTGTGGCCTTTGTCCACACAGATCACCATGAGCCCAACATGCTGCAAAATGTAGATGAACAACTCAGAAGGCCCACCAGCTTAAGAACAAATAAAGATTATTCCTGCACCGCTTCAAAACACACACACACACACACACACACACACACACACACACACACACACACACACACACACACACACACACACACACACACACACACAGCCAAGACTAAATATAGCATTTGGGTTACCATCGTTGTCATCTCTGTAGGGAGTGGGCGATTTAGGTAACAGATCAGACAATTTCAGCTGATGCAAGAGGAGGTTTTGCTGCTGAGAAGCACATGGAGGGGTATGAAGGACAGAGAAAGAGGGATCTGGTGACTGTGAATTTTTTCTCTTGTCGTCGTCGTTTTCATGCGTTCTGCATTGGGAATTGTTTCCATGTCAAGCTTTAATCCAATAAACAGTCTGATGTGCTCTTTTTGCGCATGTCATTTAAGATCGCTTCCAATTTAGCTGTGAGCTGCACCCTGCCATCTCCGCTCACATTAAGAGTGATTAATGTTTGTTTTTGAATGTTGTTCAGGGATGAAGCCTGCTAGTGAAAAAGTGAATTCACACATTACAGCAACTGAGGGCGAAACTTTCCGCCTGATAAACAAGCCCGATCATCTAATCCACATGCACATGTTTGTTCTCTGGATGATATCCATCTTTTTGCAGTCTTGGGTCTGTTTTGCTGCTATGTGCCAAAAGTGAGTGTCAGAGGCAGGACTTTAGTTAGCAGGTGTGTGTGAGTGTGAGACTTGTGTGTCAGTGATGTATAATGCCCACTAGGGCAGCGCACCGTGTGCTGGTCTCCTGAGCCTGTTGGCTGCCCTTTCACCAGAACCAGGAGTCCTTACTGCAGAGAGATGGGCTTGTCTCAGTGATGCCAGCTAAAAAAATCTCCCACATTACATTCCATCTTCATTCCAGCCAAGTTAGCGCACCTCATTAGAAAGCAAGCAGTTAAAACAGGTCTCTTTGTGTCACAGAGGCTGTTTTCCCTCATGAGAAAAAGAAGTGGTTAATGAAAACCTAAGCTAAGACTTCATGTTTGACTTAAACACATATAACCTTAAATAGTTAGTAAGATGAGAAAAAAATACACTAAATACATGAAACCAGACACAGCATTTGTAGATAATGAAACTGCATCTCTGTGCTGTCAGCGTCGGAGCATTACCGTACCGTGAGGCGCCCACGCTCTCCGCAGACCTTTAGTCACCTTGAGCTAGCTGATTATAAACACGACGAGCGTTGGGCGCATCAGGAGTGTTTCTCTTTAGCGACCTCCTGACTGCTGCTAGTATACCTCAGTGCAGCTTAATTTGTTGGATGTTGGAACTGCAGTCCAGACGAGAAACAGCAGCCTCGTATTAAACCAATGATGCTGGGGGTTTCATCTTTTTGCAAATAAGTGCATCCCAAAAACAAACTGTAGCATCCGTGTTGTGCTCGTTCTTATCTGATGCATTGTCTTACCTTCTACTTCTCTCTGGACAGCTGCAGGAGAACAAAGAGAAACAGATTCTTTAACACAGACGGCAGAGTAACACACAATTATGTGCTACCAATTCACATCATGCAATACACATGGACGGATGCACCATGCTGTTTACCTGTTTACCCATTTAAACTGTGAATATGACTTAAATAAAGTGTGGTTGGTCAGATGACCCTAACCCTAACTCTATGATGCATAGTTTCACATCTTTGATGTAGAATGTGACCTCAGGCTAAGATAAATACTCGTTTTGGCCACTAAGGAGCTCTGCAGAGTTTCTACACCAGTCAGATGTTAATGACTAAAATTCATGGGGGAAGAAAGTGTTTTACAAAAATGAGGAGAGAAAAAAAAAAAACCTTCATTATTTATGTGTTCCGCTCTGAGCTGCAGGAGTTTAAAAGCTCACTTATAATGTTAAATACTTAGCTTGGTGTTTAGCTCATTTTCAACATGAAGGAAATGACATCCATGGGGGGTTGGGGGGTACGTTAAGATGTCTCAGTGCTGAAAAGATGCGAACACCTATCACATTAGAAAGCTCTTATCTTCCGTCTTGTGACGACGACTGCTTCAGCGAGCAGCCTGTGAGTACTGCTGCAGCATACTTTGTTGCTGTTAAGTGGTCTTTATTGATTATCCCCCAGAGCTCAATGAGAGCATGGACTCTATGTTTAGAAAGGGATATTAATAACACATTTGAACCGTTTGTGAGCCAAAAGGCTGATGAAAACGTTCACCGCGCGTGCAGCACGATGACATAAAGCAGGGGTGGTTAGATGTCTTCTGAGAAAAACACCAAAAAACGTTTAGTTATTATTGTGATGGGAAAATAAGATTTGGTGTCTTGTCTTGGCGGGGAACAGCAGAACTGTGACACTTTATGTTCTGGAGGCAGGTCAAGCTGCTCTTCCCACTGATCAAATGTGATAAATTCTCTGAAGTTCTTTGATCTCAAAGCAAAATTCTGAAGTGTGTTTCTGTGTAAAAGATAATAAGACTGCTTCCTGAACAGCCTCCAGTAGTCGAAATAGCGTCTATAACTGATGTGTTGTATGGCTGCAGCACTGAGAAGGGATCGTTGGAGGGGGTGCTCAAGCCTGCACCCAAGTTTAGCACCCATCAATCACATCCACTCCACTGGAGGAAGAGAAAGAGCCACATGCACCTTCTGTGACCCCGCCCACCCAGCATCCCTGGTAGGAGGCTGCATCCGGACTGAGAAACAGCTCAGATGAAGTCAGACTGCTAAACTGTTTCACCACTAAAATACCAAACACTTTGCTCCTGCTGTTGTTACTGCAACACACATTATGCACACCAGTGGGGTCCATTCCTGGTCCTCCAGGGCCACCATGCTGCATATTTTACAGGCTTCTCTGCTTCAACACACCTGGTTTTAATCAGTGAGTGGTCAACAGCCTTCTGCAGAGCTTGATGACACGTTGAACTCGTCATTACACCATTGAATTGTGTGTGTTAGAGCAGCAAAACAACTAAAACGCATTATTTAAATGTAGTTACTTATATTTGTTTGATTATCCTAGTTTTATTTATTACTTCCATCTATAGTTGTTTTGCTAAACTCATTGACACCAGAGAAAAAGTGAAATTCTTATCATGCCGATTAGTCGTATTGACAGTAAAGCTGAGTCTAATTAACTAGTCCAACTAAAACCATAACTTAAGTGTCTTAAACAGCTCTAGTCTCTCAAATGTCGGTTCATGCAAACATTTACAAATGTCAGTTTTACGTTGCGAGGTAGTTTCTGCAGAAATAGTTTTACAAACGCCGCCCGGGTGACCCGGAAGCTCCACATGTTTCTGCTGCTGGGGAGAATTAGACATATTTACTGTTTTATGCTATAAAACTGAAACAGTTTTAGGACGGCAGCAAAATACTTTCTCTCTTGCCTGTTCTGACCTACCCATTAGCATATCAATCCTTCAGAAAATGAGTATTTGCAGACTAATTGTGTTGTGCAGAACTGTTAGGGTAGTAAATATTTATTCCTTTTGCACAGAAACACATTTTAAAACAGCGGCTCCTCTAATTTAGACGTTCTCGAACATTTCGCCCACTGGATCATATAAAATCTATAAAAAACAAGCTGGATCCTCCTTTCTCCATTATAAGCAATAATTGCTTCGTGACTCATAGAATAAATAAAAGGTGCATTTCTGTGATAATCAAACATCTGTTCATTATTTCTAACATACATATTTCTTTGGTCAACACAGTTTATCTGTTATTTATGTCTAATGTGTGATAATATATACATTATTAATGCATAACTCACATTATTTACTCAAACCCTTCCGTAATCTTCACTCTGCATTTCTGATTATTTGCCAAATTGCCTCTTCAGTCTAGCAGCTGTGTTGGCTGCAGCACAGCATAATTACTCTGTATGTGAAAACCAAATCATCACAGCTTTGCCTGTAGAATAAAACAACTTATAAAGTTTCGGGAGGAAAACAGGCAGAACGAAGATGTTTTGCTCACCTTCCTGGCAGTACTTTCCTCTGAAGCTGGTGTTGATGCAGTCACAGAGGACCTCTCCTTGGCTGATGGAGCAAAGGCCTTTGTTGCTGCAGGGAGAGTGTATGTCACATATGTACTCCAAATCATTATGCACGGCTTGGCCGTCCAGCAGCATTGGCAGCGCCTCCCCCAGTTTCAGGTTGGTTATGAAGCCCTGGAACAGGGGCTCATATTTAACCGTGCTTGAGGTCAGAGCCGAGAGACGCACATCAGGCGAGATCCCTCCGACGTAGAGGTCACTGGCCACCGCCATTTCTTTCCTCTTCGATTTTACCTCTGCTACTTTCTCCTCATTGTCCACCACCAGCTTGGTCTCCCTGAAATTGCGAGCGAGGAGGACTCGGTGCCAACGTAGGTCATTGATGGGGGTCTCAGTGTGCAGGGTTGCGGGTTCTGCACAGTGGATGGTGAAGCGCATCTGCAGCCTCCCATTTGTGATCAGGAGCTCCAGGAAGTCACAGTTCCCCCCATCGTCAAGGTAGAGGACTAGCGCTCTGCTGATGTTGGTTCTCAAAATAAAACTGAGCTCACCTGTTGTCTTTGCATCCCACTGGCCATAGCGTGTCCACTGACCAGGAACGCCTTCATATTCCAGAGCTAATCCTGTTAGCAACAAGCACGCAAAGAACAAAAACCAAGAGAGCTCTCCTTTACAGCTGCCCATGATGCTTTCTATCTACGGCTCTCTCCTCTGCAGTCTTCAAATCTACCAGGAAATGTTTCAATGTTCTATATTTATTTTTAATCACCCTAAAATCTGCTGATATAAGACTCCAACTCCCACAGGCAGCACATGAGTTTGTTTAGCCTTGGCTGTCTATCCTGATCCGTTTCTCCATCTCTTAGCAATCGAAGCACATTGCAGGACACTTTGCATCTACTTTGGATCTGAGGATGAGAATAAATGATACGACTGATCCACGAAACTGTGTGCTTCCTCGTCTTCGCCATCCAGTGACTTGGCCTCCATCCAGCACAGTTCCATCAGATCTCCATGGATTCGCTAGGCAAGGAGCCTGGGTGCAGCCTCCACCCGCCTCAGCATCCCAATATCCTAAGACATGAAAGAAGAATGTGTAATGAATAGCTGGAGGCATTATGAGCCACTGATTGCACAAAAAGGTAATAATCTGCATTCATTAGGAGCTTCGTGGCAAATGAATTACAAAATCTAACAAATGATTAAGGAGGGAAATAAGAAGGTGGTTGACTGATTCAGAAGTTGGCGATTTATGATTCTGACAGGAAATTATCATAAAGATTTTGGCAACAAATCTGTCACATGTTTCGTTGGATGAGAACAACAGTGTCTGAAGCTGATCCTGTAACATGGGCAGAAAAAAGAGGGAACCTAAGTAAAGAGTCTGCTGCTTTCCAAGAAGATGGTGGAAAAGTCCTGTTCTGTAATCACCCACAGATCTTTTGGCTGCACTCATGGGCGCTCTAACTGCAGTGATGTCAGGCCCCTTAAGGTTTCTGCTCTTCCAACCTCAAACTGAGAAGCTACAGCTGAGCAACAAATATGGGCCAGAAGCTGGCGGAGAAAGGAAAGAAAAGGTCAACGCTAAACAAACAGGAAAATAATCAAAAAATAATAATACTTTGTGACAGCAAAAGAGGGAGTGCCTTACAGACTTGAGGACACAAGTTATTCACCAGCCCTTACATGTATTTATATTTCTTATTCCCCTGCAGAGAGAGCTGCTATAATACATGCTGAGCCAGGCAGGTTGTTGCATCCAGTTTTAAACACATTAAAACAGAAGTCTGGAGTGTTCCCCTTTTCAGTGAATTATAGGATTTTTACTAGGATTTACTTATTTTTTATAACTCTCTAAAAGTCTTACCCTGTCCTGTTATATAAAATAGGCAACATGTTACAGTAAAAGTCTTTGCTAAGCCCGTTCAGCACTAGCCATGGGATGTCATCGTGAGTGTTTACCTAGACTTATGCAGAGTTAGCCACATTTATTATGAATAAACAGCATAATAAATAATAATAATAATAATAATAATAATAATAATAATAATGTTTTAGCTTTGTTAGCCAGCTAGAGGTGAGTATTCACAAGTGTGAGACGTAATCATGGAGGAGAGGAGGGGCTTAAGGTGCAATACATTTTTCCATCTCTAGATGGTGCCGTGGAGCCTCAGCAGGCCAGACCAGTCGTCTTGCTAATCAAGACTCTCTTGGTGTGTTGGGCAAGATGATGAGGAGTCCAACACCTAAGATGGCGTAGGCTCTTTTAAAACACCTTTGGCATTAACTTTAACTATTTAGACTTGGGCTTTTACTTGAGTCCTTTATTTAGAAAAAGGCCCATTGACAGACATTCGTATCATTGAGTCTGTCATGTTGTTCGTTGTCCAGTAACATGTGGAGACAGTTTGAAAGACAGCCTTAGATTCTGTCCCTCGACTGAACTTTCCCTGTGGGTGATGGTTCACACAATATCCACATATTGTGGCTTTGCCAGGCTAAAGTAAAATCAGCTTCAACAAGCAATTATAGCTTGTGCTAAAATGGGAAAATTCCCATTTACAAATCAGGATCTGCAATGATTGTTGGGGGTCTGCAACATAACAACGTATAGCGGGGGCGAATAAGTATTTGACACATCAGCATTTTCATCAGGGATCGTCTAAGTGAGCTATGGACACATAATTTTCTCCACATTCCAGTTTCAACTTAAGTATTTAATTCATGCAAAGACATCCAATCATTTAAGTACATACATTGAGTTTTGTGTAATAAAGTGGAAAGACACAGAGAAAAAGTATTAAACACATGAAAATAACAAGAAGCAAAATCGCATAGAAAGCCAGGAGATCACGCGAAACCTGTCAGTATTAATATTAATATTAAAATCATGAATAATAATAACAACAACAACAATAATAACAATAATAATAATAATAATAATAATAATAATAATAATAATAATAATAATATGTTTAATATTAGTATTAACAAAAATAATATAATAATAATTATTATTGTTATTATTATTATCAACAGCTTGTCATATGTCTGTCTATGCAGGTTTGTTATTATTTCAAATAAAAATATTTTACCAAAGGCAATTAAAACATGAAAATGTAAATGACAAAAATCTCCACTTTGAAAATTTTGAAAATTTGCTAAATGAAGATAAGAAATGCAAGTAAATCTAAATTCAGCAGCTTGATTTCAGGCTTAGACCAATGTTGTTATTTGGCTGCAAGTTCATCAATATTTCATGTTGCATTCTGGGTAATCCACTGGTCAGAAGAAGAAGACATTATAGATGATGGTTTCATTATTTTTATCACTATCCCACCTTCCTGTGTTTTTGACAGCACTGAAAGCAGCTTGTTAGGGTCCCTGCCTCTAACTTTGAACACTCAAATATCATTTTCTCAGCTCCCTGGTTTTAAGGTTGAACTGATTTTGAGCAAAACTTGGAGCAATGGAGACTCCCACCAGAATTCAGGCTCCAGACTCAACACAAGATCGCTAAAGAACAGCAAAGGGGTGAGTGATGCGATGGTGGCCAGCGCAGCAGTGAATAGGATCAAAGGTTTAGGGCACTGAGCGACTAGAGAATTGCCTGACTAGGTAAGATAAAGTTTATTGTTTTACATCTCAACACTATTTCATTCCCACATTTGTGAAAGAAAAGTAAAAAAAAAAAACAACTTTTCGCAATTCTAAGAAATGCTTCACAAATTACATGTTTAACAGATTATGCTCATAATGTAGAATTATCTGGCCCAGGTTTGAAGAGTCTAGATATTGTAGTTTTATAATAGGAACAGATTAAATATGCTCAAGAAGTGGCGGAATTGTGTGGGATTGCCCTTTCCTAATCGGAAAACAGAAATGGAAACTTCAGCTTCATCAGACAGACAGGTTATCGCTGGTAAAAATATAACCTCCTTTAAGGGTTTAACTGATGATTATCATGAAACATCGAAAGACATTTGAAATATTAAGGAATAAGTTTCATCTTGTAGTCTTCTGCTGCTGTTCGGCAGACTTTCGGTGCCTAGACCAATCATCCATTGTTTGAACCCGCTTGTCCACGTGGGGTAGCGGGGGTGGGGGGGTGGGGGGGGGGGCTGGTGCCTATCTCCAGCGGTCAACGGGCAATAAGGCGGGGTACACCTTGGACGGAGTGCCAGTCCATCGCAGGGCAACACAGAGACACACAGGACAAACAATCATGCACACACACACACACACACACACACACACACACACACCTAAGGATGATCTAGACCAGGGGTGTCAAACTCATTTTAGCTCAGGGGCCACATTGAGGGAAATCTAGTCCCAAGTGGGCCGGACCGGTAAATAAAAAAAAAAACTTCAGGTTGTTTTCTTTGTTTTAATACAATCAATATAAAACAAGGCTGGAGCCTGAGGACAGTGTAGTACAAGTACAACACCTGAAGTGTACTTGAAATTTTGAAAAAAATAAAAATAAAAATTCAATAAATAAATAAAACATTCCTTAGTGATTCAAAGAGCTTACAGATCACATGGCAAGATCAGTTTCATGCAGCACTTAAAGTATATTTGACTCATTTTACTTTACATCTTTTAGCTTTCACCAGAACATCAATATCAGAAGTCACATCCTGAGAGGCGGCCAACTTCAGGATGTGATTCAAGTTCTTGTGTGAGCCTTGAGCGCAGCTTTGTTTTATTTATACTCATTACAGAGAAAACTTGCTCACAAAGATAAGTTTATTTTCACTCTACATTGTTAAGTATGAAAATAAAGTTTTCACAACCATCTCACGGGCCGGATTTAACCTACTTGCGGGCCGCATCTGGCCCGCGGGCCGCATGTTTGACACCCCTGATCTAGACAGACCAATCAACCTAACAGTCATGTTTTTGGTCTGTGGGAGGAAGCCGGAGAACCCGGAGAGAACACACGCATGCACAGGGAGAACATGCAAACTCCATGCTGAAAGATCCCAGGCCGGGAAGCGAACCCAGGACCTTCTTGCTGCAAGGCAACAGCTCTAACAATTGTGCAACCCCTAGACCAATCAGAATGCTCAAAAGAATGCAGCGCTGCAGTCAGGCAGCCAATCCATGACGCTCAAAAAAAAAAACCAGTATGGACTACTTCAGTCTATTTTGTTAGGCTAGAGGAGCAGCAGGTCGGTCAACATGTCGATTTGAGGTTTTGGGTCAGACTTATGGCGTTAATGTCCATGTTTTCAACATCACTGCAGGTTGCCTAACGTTTCTGCATCAGACAAATCATTGGCTAACTCCTAGCTAATGACATCAGGAGTAGCCAAAGGTTAATGCAGCAAACACGAGGAGTGCTGATGATAAAATGGTGCTACCCATCCTGGTTTAAGGCAGGCATTTACACCTCTACAGCATCAGCCACTCAGATGCAGAGCACTCAGAGCCCGGGACTGGGAAAGGGGGTCGAACCCTTTATGAGGCAGGGGACATTTCCTGTATTTTTGTTGCTAAAATGTAACGTTTTAATCAAGTACTATGGTTTTTATATTTTACACACACACACAAAAGAAAATTATACTAATAATAAATAAATATTCTCACATTTCATGTGAGCTGGGCTAGAAATGGGTCCAGCATGGGCCAGTTCATGTTATCATGTGATCTTACAGGCAAGATAAATCTCTAATGACCTGTTTTTCATTTTCATCTATTTACATGAAAACATTTCACTAAACTGCAAAATTATTATCTGAAAGTGTTTCAAAAATCAGACTAAATCCTGATTTTAGTAGGAAAGAAATTCATCATTTTGCCATTTTTCTTGTCTTACTAACTGCTGGTGATGTGACATCTGAAGCGTCTAAAGGAAGATTTTACACCCTCTAAACACTTTGTTCAAAAGGCATTTTAATTCAGTTGGGCCCAATCACCTCTCTTCCTCAAAGAGGAATAGCATGGATCCACCTGATGGGAATCCTAGCCTGGACTTGGTACCCTGGTGATGAGGGAGTCTGGGCGAGTTTATTTGCTGAAGGTAGATGACTTGAGACAGATTTTATGTAGAAAAATAAATCAGTTTC